AATTCAAAACCCTGATATACATTCAATCTGCCTATTAGATTGCACTCTGCATCACCACTGGTCCCATGACCTCAGTCCTTGCATGAATGACCATCATAGGATCTCCAAACACTGAAATCCTAAACCCTACCTTCCTAAGCAAGGGGTTGACCTCGTTAACTCAGTTGAACTAGCTCAATTAATCAAACCCCTATATTGAACTACTACAAACCCCAACACATTATCAATATTCACCAAACTAAATCCATCAAAGCTCTTAATGATCTACTCAAGTTTTGTCCACTCGCCTTAGTCAAAGGTTAACCTGGTGAACCTAACCCAATATAATTCAAATCAATCAAGATTAGGTCAAACCATTACACATGAGGCCTTCAGAGAAATTGGAAAATGAAATGTTTGGTAGCAATTAAAAGCCTAAATATTTTACATTTTAACAGCATAAGCCATTGCGACAAACTGAAATATAAATAATAAAGCCAAACTCCGCACTAAATAAATGGACAAAAACCATTCTCGTTCAGCAAAATAGAGCGCTACCATTTGGAAGCAAATCCTAGAGGAAGTACAAAAAAACTCCTTCAAAAATAAGTATACCGCATAAACCCTAATTCACTATAACTTGCTAGACCTGAAGATATACAAACTCACGCCCAATCCATAACAAAAATCAACCAATCATTAAAACATTCGAGCTAGTATAGAAACAAAAAGGAATATCGATCATTCCATTATTGATTTTTCCTAATTTTCCCAGCTTTGCTCAACGATAGCAACCTCATACAGTAAATGCTAGTGGGAACCAAGATTGCAAAAATCGAAACCCTAAGTCAACCTGATGGAGATCCTGGCCTTCCAATTTTCATATCTCACAAAAGAGATCAGAGAAACGAGTGCGATTACCATTATCTTTGCAAGAACTACCTTCTTCTCGAGAGTTCGGGGCAACGAGGGTTTTCAAGTCCATCGTCTTCATCGCGTGCTCGTCCATTATCTCGATCGCAAACTCGTCCATCATCTCTATCGCATACACGTCCATCTTTTCTCTTCGCTCACTCCTGACGAAAATGAGCTTCAAAATTCAGAAAAAGTGGAGCACGAGAGCCAGAGAAGGGGCTATTATAGTTAGTTTGGTTTGTTGCATTAGCAGTGTAATATATTTCAAATGGAGGGGTTTTGTTGAGGAGTGGTAGTTACTCATCCCAGTCAAAATGTCATCTCTAGGCAAGTTTGACTGAAAAGTATAAATTTAGCGCTAATTGGGAGGCAACCCAATTCTGCTTTGTGTTTTAAATGTTAAATGGTTTGCTTATGTGTCTTGCATTTTGTATTTTTTATGTTTTAAATTTATGAAAATGTTATTTGCATTATTTATGACTTATTAATTATGGTTTTGACTAATTATATTTTATGAGAAAAATGTATAGTGTTGAATTTGAATTAGCAATGCAGTGTTAGGCTTTGGAGCGCTGCAGCATTTGCTAGTCAAGCACCGCAGCATTCAATTCTGACATTGCAGTGCTAGAGTCTCGAGAAAATCTATGGAATACAATGTCGCAGCGTTGTACTTTATAACACCACATCATTATTTTACTAAATTGAGCGCTTCAGCACTTCCCTTTGTAGCATCGTGGCGTTAGATCCTTTATTTCTATAGTGTTGAAGGCAGAGTACTCCATTACTTATACATTAACTACTTTTTCATTATGAGGTTTTATTAAGCGCCACAGTGTTAAGTTAAAATCATAATTAGTTGGTTGGCGCACCGCGGCGGTGGTTTTTGTTAGTATTGCAATGCTTGTACGTTTCAAACGCTGCAGTGTTTATCAAGTCAAAAAACGGACGTTTAGTTTTCCCATGCCTGCGCCTTAACATCACGCGTCCCGCACCACTTGTTCTTTTTCATCAAAGACAAAAAAATCATGGATAATAATGTGGATAGTATCCAATAAAATGTGATAAGAGAATTCATATTATTACTATTTCTTTTTCTTAATTGAAGAAAGAAATGTAAAAGAAAATATTAACTACACTAAAAGGGTGATAAACATCGCATCTACTAGTACAATTCAATTCAACATTTAGTGCATTCAATTTTAATTTTGTCATGGCTCTATAAAACAAAATTGGTTTATTATTGGATGAATGGCATTGGTCATATTAAACCTTAAATAAAAAATAATAGGTACCAACTAGTATGTAAACAATAAGCTATCGCATTGTAAAAATTGGATAGGTGGTCATTGGGAACTATTATTAGCTAATTTGAATACTATGATTAGATATCATACTCTTTCTGATATTTATGTATTAAGAGATTCTGGTTCTTTTACATATATTCAATCATTTTGCTTCCCATGAAAAATAATTAGTAAATAAAAAAATTTTGTTGAATATTTTACATCCTATTTACAACTTGAAAACTAAATTTGTGAATATATTTTTGGGTGCATTACACTTAGGTCCCAAAGATACAAACCACTCTTCGCATAGGTTAAAATTTTTTAAAACATCATCTAGATCCCTCAAGTAGCTTTCTGCCTACACGTAAGTCCCTACCATAATGGCTCAGTTTATTTTCACATTAACTCATGCTTTTGAGCAATTTTCAGCTATAGAGTGGTCAATATATCATTGCACGCTTCACACATATCCACATTTTCAAAACACTTTACCTGTAGGTCTCAAGTTACTTTTTACTTGGATGTAGGCCCACATCATATTTGCTCAATTTATTTTCACCATTAACACATATTTTTTAGCAATTATTTTTATGTTAGAGAAGGGCCTATATATGATTATGAATGCTTTAGAGCATTTTTCAACTTAAAAAATGGTCAATATAAGATTTGCCCTCATTATCTTACTTGCCCTATGCTCTATTCTCCATCGTACCTTCTCCCATATCCAGCATCACTACAACTCCTTTGTCAGATCCCAATAATACTTCGCCAGTGGTGTCAACTCACTGCTCACACCAATACACACTACTCCTCTACCTCCACCTCCTATTCACTTGCCTTATCCACTACCATCATCATCACCAACTTCAGCATTGGAACCAATCCTCACGATGACACCCCTCAAATCACTGGCCCTCAACCTCAATGACCAAATTCCCAAACCCCACTATTCACATCCTCAATGCCACCCTCTCCATATACACGTAGGTACTTAACATAATGATTCAATTTATCTTCACCATTAACACAATTTTAAGAATTATCATCTATAGAATGGTTGATATATCAATGCACACTTCATATAGGTCTACATTTTTTAAAATACTTCACCTAGTTCCCTTAAGTTATTTTCCACCACATGTAGATTCCTAGCACAATTGCTCACTTAATTTTCACCATCAATGAGCATGTTTTTTTTACATTTATTAGCTAAAGAATAGCTTATATATAATTGCACATGTTTTAGAACATTTTTCAACTAGAAAATGATCAATATCCAATTTCCCCTCATTATCTTACTTTCCCTCTAGTCTATCCTCTATCACACCTTCTCCCACATCTAGGGGTGTCAATTTCGAGTCACGGGTCGGGTTCAGGTCGAACTCGGAACTAACCTGAGTTCAAACGGGTCGACCCTAACCCGACCCGGGTAGAAAAACGGGTTTGAAATATGAACCGGGACCTGACCCGGCGGGTTGTCGGGTTGACCCAACCCGACACGGGAAGGCGGACTCGGACGCGGGCTCTGACTCAATTGACTCGGCAACCTGTTGGGTCAACCCGAACCCGACCCATTTTTCAAACGGGTCAAATATGGGAACTCGAACCCGATCCGGTTTGGAAATAGGTCGGGTTTTCATGTCGTGTCAAATATTGACACCCCTACCCACATCCATCATCTCCACCACTCATTTGTCAAGTACCGATGATACTTCATCCATGACATCGTCTGTTTGCTCGAGCTAACTTCACCTCTCACTCCCTTGCCTTATCCATGGCCATCATCATAGATGTCGTAAATCTCACCATCGAAGGCTATCCTCTATCACACTTTCTCCCACATCCATCATCGCCAACACTCATTTGTCAAGTCCCAATGATACTTCATCCACCGCATCTTCTCTTTGCTCGAGCTAACTCCACCTCTCACTCCCTTGCCTTATCCATGGCCATCATTGTCGATGTCGCAAATCTCATCATCGACTGCTATCCTCATGATGGCACTACCTCGCCCTAACCCTCAAAATCCCATGCTCATCCATTCATGACGACCACCCCCCCCCCAAACACCCAACATCACTCTTATCAAGTTCTTTTTTACCTATGACAATATGTGTCAAGACTCACCACATCCTCTCGGTTGGTGTCCAACATCCATGCGCCAAACACCTTAATAAAACCATCTATGAGCTTTAAGAAGCTAACTAGTTTTGTTTGGGGAATGATGAAGTCACGAATAAATTTAAAATTGAAGAAGATAAAAAGATTCTTAGTTTTAGCATAAATTCAAGGTTAATTAAGGCATTCAAGTGGAAAATTAGCAAAGTAAACACTATAGAAACCGATTGTGTAGATGGAAGGTTATTTGATGGTGATGTGCCTTTAAAAATTCTCAGAAGCCTTAAGAGTAGTATATCCTATATTTTTTTCTTTAGAATGTCATGAATCATCATTAGAAATCTATTAAAATTGCATTTATATTCTATTATTTATATTGCATTTCATTATATATGCTACAAATAGAAAAGCCTGCGCCTTGATATATATGGATAAGAAATTGTGTGATATGGAGATATTTACTGATAATTATAAACTAAAGGGGTAAATAGTCATATCCATAATGCACTTGGAGAGCTTAAAGTTTAATACCTCGATGGGTATCAAAATTAGGAAACGAAGGGTAAATACTCAGACATATCATCCCAATAATTCAAGAATAGGTGCCAACATCAATACATAAGAGCATATTACATGGAAGAAAATTTATCTCGAGGAGGCATACATCACATGCACTATGCACAAAATACAAAATTTATTTACCTAAAATTGGATGGACGCCCAACCATGTGTTTGGTGGCAACAAAGACTGAACATTTTCGAAAGGATGTCCAGAAGCTTTTCGTTCTAAAACTTCACGAAAACCTTCAACATGATTCTCGAACTTGTTAGTAGACTTATTTACCCAATGTCAAAGTATTCTTAAACCTAGAAAAACAGGCAAAAACAAATACCTTTTTTGAACTTGGGGCTGACCTTTTGAAGCAAACCAACTAGTGTGCTAGCCTCGTGTGCTGTCTTAGCTAGTTTTGGATCTAATATGTTTCCAGTGCTGGAATTGACATAGAAACCCTTTGTTGTTCCACTTATACAAAGCTCACTCCCTTCCAGAATTTTAATGTCAATATAGATCAAATCTCCAACAAGCCTGAATAAAAAAATAGTAAAGCTGGTAAAAAATGCATACTTTGAAACCAAGACGGAAAAAAATTCATCATGAAAAGGAAGAGAGTACACTGGCTGTCAAACTTATTACGGACTAGATTAGTTAAAAATGCCTCAAAAGGCATGTTGTTAAGATAAAAATAAATGAATAAATAAACAATAAAAATGCAAAATTAACACATATGTTCTATAAATTATATAATAAAATACAAGCAATTTAGACATGAGATATAAATACACAAAATCAGATAATATTACCTTCTTGATTTGAAGCATTTAAATTTTTTATACAATTTCTCTTAAAAAGAGGAATCATTTATTTGGAAATGAAGATTAGTTAATTTTTTTATTCCTACATGTCACTTAGAAAATATATCATGTAAAAAACAAATTATTATTGAACAAAAATATCCATGTCAGAGGTCATATTTAAGCATATCTCAATTTTAGGAAACCAAAAATTTAATTTAAAAAAAATTACTAAACTCATGAATAGACATACTTTTATGAGGAGTTATATGATTTATAAAATTTCTTGCACAATAGAAAATTGATGATCATAACATATTAAAGCATAATTTAACTTGCGTAAGAAATGAGATACTATCACAAGCATAACTACATGCCAATTTTTTAAAAAATGTAGGAAGAACGAATTTCAAAGAAAAAATAAATAATAACAGGCAAAACTAATAGCTTGTCTCTAAGATAATAATGGGGAAAAGCAACGGCAATGGGGAAGAGAGAGAGAGAGAGAGATGATCAGATTACTCCCTTTTAAAAAGTTGAACCTCCTACTTTTTATATCACATTAAACATTGAGCACAAAATTAATGAGCAATATCTCTTAGCTAACATGTATGATAGCAACATTAATTATTTTCAATGGGGATAAGAGTAAATTGCAGATCGTAAATAGAAAAATGCAAAATGTAAAATCAAAATTTGAGAAGAAATAAAAAAGAGAAGTGACAATTAATTAGGCAAAGATTGGTAGAAGAAGAGGATCTTATCTAAAAAATCGATAGTGGCAATAACTTGATTCAGTAAAAAGTTAATTCGATATTGCATAATATTGTTTTTTATAATAGACATAACAACGTGCAAAAAATCATTTTAATAGAAAATTATTAGAAGGCTAAAATCAATGCAAATAAGATAATATTACAACAACAACATGATACCTTTATCCCACTACGTGGGATCGGCTACATTATTTTTCTTCTCCATTGTGTTATGTTAGATTCGAATTCTTATTTAAAATTAAAAAAAAAAAGTTATTTCTAATGTTTTCTAACCAAATCTTTTTAGGTTTACCTCCACATATCTTAACATAAGTCTAATCTAACACATCTACTCTCCTAACCGGGTCACCAGAAGACCGATATTTTATATGACCAAATCATCTAAGGCGACTCTATCTAATCTTATATGCCACGGGAGCTACTCCAACATCTTCACATATACAATCAATTTGCATTCTGTCTATAAAAGTAAAGCCACTCATCCACCTGAGCATCCTCATCTCGACATCTCTACGTACAACAATTAACTTAATTTTATGCTTCTCTTTTAATGGCCAACATTCTACACCATAAAGCATTGCAGATCTCACCAACATCTTATAGAATTTTTCCTTAAGTTTGAGGGATACTTTCCTATCCCACAACAGGCCGATGCATTCCTCCAATTCAACCATCCAACTTGAATTCTACTAATAATATCCCCATCTATTTCACCATAACTTTGTACAATAGACCCAAGATATTTAAAGCTTGCACTCTTATTAATGACTTGATCACCCAAAGTGACAATCCCCCATTAGATCTATTACTACTTAAATTATACTCCATATATTTGTTAGATATACTCAAACGAAAACATTTAGGCTTTAAGGTTGACCTTCATAATTCAAGTTTATTTTCAACTCTCTCTCTCTCTCTAATCTTATCAATGAGAAGAATATCATCAGCAAAAAGCATACACTAGGCTACATCCTCTTGCAAATCTCTAGTAAGAAGATCCATGACTAGAGAAAAAAGATATGGGCTTAAAGTTGATCCTTAATGTAATCCAACAAAAATAGAAAAATACTTGATCAAACCATATTGTGTTTGAATAAAAGTAATAGCTCTTGCATGGATATCTTTAACGACTTGAATAAAATAATTATTAACCCCTTTCTTTTCAAGAACTCTCCAAAGCACTTTTCTTAAACTTTATCATAAGCTTTCTCTAAATCAATAATTATCATATGTAGATCCTCCTTATTCTCTCTATACTTCTCAATTAAACTTCTCAATAAATGTACAACTTACATGGTAAGCCTACCCTGCATGAATCCAGATTGATTTTCAGAAACATTAGTATTGCATAGTAGCCTATGTTCAATAACTCTCTCCCATAGTTTTAAAGTACGACACATTAACTTAATTCATGTATAATTCATACACTATTGTGCATCACCTTTTTCTTAAAAATACTAATTAACGCACTCTTCCACTCATTTGGCATCTTTTTAATCTTCAAAATAGTATTGAAAAGTTTCCAAAACCAAGAAATTCCTTCATCTCCTAAACATTTTCATACCTCTATTGAAATATCATCCAACAGTTTTTCCACACTTCATTTTCTTTAAAGCCTCTCTAACTTTGATTTTACTAATACACCGATAAAAACAAAATTCTCTATTTTCATTTATGGTACTAATGTTATAAAATTCAATCGTATGCTCACAATCTTCATTGAAATGCTTATCAAAATATCTCATTCACCTTTGTTGAAAATTCACTTCTAATAAAAGCACTTTTTGATCTTCATCCTTAATGGACTTCACTTAAGAAAGTCCTTACATCTTTGTTGGCTAAAGAAAAATGGAATGTCAACATGAATCCCACTTTGCAGACATAGGATTATATTCCTCTTAAGTCATATTGTAGTTAACCAGATTTCCCCTAAAGGTAGTACAAGGTTTAGTTAGATCTGGGTCCTTACTTCCCATAAGCGCAAGCCCTCATAATTAACTATCCCTCTTAATGCGCAAGAAAGAACTCTCTTAAGTTCAGACTCTTGTGTAGGAGCAAAAGCAAAATTAGATAACGATAATTAAATATTAACATATGAATCCCTTCAAACAAGAACCCAATCCATAGTGGGTACTGGGTAGTTCACCTAACAGAAGCAAGTTTAATAATTCTTACCGCCTATAGCTCGGAGGAGGATTGAAAGAAGAAAAAGTAATGCTTTCTACACATTTAATGTCCATAGGTGATGACACCACCAAATTGCAGACAGAACAAGTAACATCTTCCATGAAGCCTAAACCATCTAACTCTAGAGTATCCACTTTGACAGCATCTGCAGAGCAAAAGTAGCTTTGATTTAAAATATACAGAGAAACCCACATATATTCAATTGATAATAAGTTGAAACAACAGCAAGGCATAAGTTGCTATCCCATTCAATGTGCTTGTGTACTCAAGAACCAAAGATAGAAATGTTAAAATGGGATATGAGAGAATGCATCTTTATCAAAGGCATGTATAAACCTGGAGACTTTTGCTGGGAAGGTTCATGCTGCAAGGCTAGTGATGTTGACAATGATGTATGAAGATTCGAAAGAGAAATCAGATCTCGGGAACGACGAACATGAGATCTAATAGATCTATCATCATATAGAGCTGCAGAAAACCCATCAAAATCAGAATTTATTGGTTAAACAGAAAATTGCAGATGGCATAAATGAGAAAACATACCTCCAAACATCTCTAAGGAGCATCCACCTGCGGAAATATCAGCAAATTCAGAGATTTCACTATAATCCCCTAGCTGGTGAGGGGAACCATCACTAGCATGCAGAACTAGGTCATAGCAGGTATAGAAGCAAGTCTCTGGAGCATCAAGAAGAAACTGCCTGATGTCCATTACAGAATCTCCTGGGCTTAGCTGTTCATCAAAATCCAATGTTAGCTGTTCATCAAATATTAGCTGCTCTTTACTAGACAAACCTACTAAGAAAATAGAGGTACAAATAGAAGACATGACAAATAAGTAAATAACACTACAAAAAAAAAAACCCAGTAAAGAAATGAAAGATAAAAACCATAATCAATAATGTTACCACTCAGACATACAAAGAACACTTAGCTATGCATTCTCTTAAAGGAGAGACCTTATTATCAAAGATAATGCTAAGATATTCGGGGCATGCTCTTGCAGTCGGCTATTTGGAACATTTGGAATGGAAGTAACAAGAGATGCTTTAGTAATACCATCAAGGATGACAAAAAATGTTTGTTTCAGCATTTTATCTCTTTTTTTTTTTTATTGAATTGTCTTACGGAAATAAAGCATATCAAATCTTAGAGAAAAGGAGAACTTTAAACTTTCAAAGCAAACCTCTAGAACATTCTAGAGCTATTGTTTAATTATATTTTCCTTGTTGATTATCTATTTATCATATGTTCATTTTTTTTTAATTAATGAGAATGGTTTTCTAAAGCCTAATAAACTGATTTTCCTGATATATGCTAGCTACGTTTTTAGCCCAATAGAGCTTTCTCGAGGTAATCAATTTTTTAAAAAAAACATGGAGTTGGTATTAGCATCAACATCACCACCTTCAATAACCTCTTGAAACTACCCAATATAATTTAACTTTATGAATACATTCACTTCTACTTAGTGTGCAAAATGAAGTGTTAACTCTGATATAAACATCTCTTAGCACGTTACCTATGGTCCACTCATCTTCCTTTCCTTGTATGTATATATATATATATATATATATATATATATATATATATATATGTATATTTGTGTATATATATATATATATATATATGAGTATTTGTGTATACATGTAATTATCAGTAATATATTTGACTATATCAGCTTAAAACTCCACTCCAAATCAATCACTTTCGACTCAACCTGAACTTAGCTTGACTCAATCAAGATCTTCATATTAAAGCTGAGGTCATCACACCTGAGCTCAACTTGATATCATGACCATATGCATGGTTGTTAGACTTCAACATGTAACACCAAATGATAAAAAAATCTGTTCCCTGAATCATTATCACCTATCTTTTCCCCACATCTCCAACAACTAATGAAAAGAACTATTGGTGTTTATCATTGATTCTATGAATAATCTTGAGAAAAGGGCCAAAACTAAGCAAACTTTCTCCTCCGTCATATCCCCAAATTGCTTCTCAAAAGGTATAATCTAATTGTAATCAAAGGAATATCCAATTGAATTTATTTTGGTCAATTCATTTTCAGGTCAAACGGTAAATAGATTTTGGCAACATAGGTAGGTGACTCATGTTGTTACTAGATAAGTGCACAGTTTTATAAAGGGGAACTCCCTTGATATTTCTATTTGTAATATATCAGGTTTACTCAAACTAGTCATGTAAATTAATTTAGATACCTCATAAAAGACTCATTGAAGGAAATTCATCGATCATGTTGATTATATATTTATATGTAGAATTGAATTTTCATTGTTTCATGCAAAACTTCCGTAATTAGCATTACATGATTATGGCATTATATCACTAGTAATGCACGTGTTTGATTTCAGTGTTTATTAAGCAATTCATTCATACTGAACTCTCATTAATTTAAATGCTATTATAGGATATATCAGGTGTATGGAACATCTTTAGCCGTATTGGTATTATTCATGTTGTATTTCATGCACATCTAAATACAAATTTTCACTTATAGATATGATCTCTAGATTCCTACTGATCATGTTTTGAAAAGCCAAGCCCCTACACCATGTACTCGAATGGAAGATTTACGAAGAAGCATCAATATACTCTCTTAGTCTGTGGATATCAGTAGAACTATATTCAAGGTTACCATATGTTATCAAGCACTATTTGATATTATTCATCATCATGATAATCAATGAGTTGTTGTGCACCTTAAGAAATTTAGTTTCAAATGACTCATATGATAGGCATACTTGAATGCAACGCTCGTTTCAAATGGATATTGATCTATCTGGATTAAAACGCATCTTACTTGATTTCCATGGCATTTTTTGTATATATTTGGATGCCTTCTTCCTTGTTGCTAATATCTTTACCAGCATTTTTCACCAATGTTCGTGTATGCAAACCCAAACCTATTTTACATGGTGGACTTTCAGGCTATTAGTTGTAAGATCTTATATGCAAGGTGTTAAATAAATCCAATCTAATTATGCTCTGTAACAATGAAACTTGAGTGTTGTGTAATTTGATCTTCTTATATTCCGTAGTTAAAATTTCATCGTCCTTTCTTCTTCAAACGTCTTACCCATTCCTCAAGCACTACACTTCCTAGTCATGCCAATCTAGCCTAAGTGATACTTGGTTTGCAACTAGGAAGATATTAAATGGTTACATCGCAACAAATCAATTCAGCTAAAGGATAAGAAAATGTAACGGTTTCTAAAGACAATGTTAGTCGTAACTCGTACGAAGGCCATATTAAAGCATTAGTAGGATACTATTAGTGAAAAGAACAGCAAGGATTTTGAGTATGAACCTCTGAGTACTAAAGAGCTTGATCTTGCCAGCGCAAAAGCTTTCCAGTTGAACAACAAAATGGGGTTTCATACGATGTGTAGGAAACTCATGTAAGGGGCTTTTTATTAGATTCACATAAGAGTATAGAAGCACCTTGTCAATAGAATGTATGTCTGTAGAATCTTAGTGACTAGCACATAAAACTATCAACTTAATAGCGGTTAGCATTAAGCATAGGTATATATGTTTGTAGCTTTTAATTTCAAGCAAAACTATCGAATTAGTACCAAAAAATTACTGGGTTTATTGATTTTAAATATGATGGCAGGAAAACTGAATGTACATGTCCTATTAACACCAGCAAATTTTGACCGATTATACACTTGGTTCAAATTGTTGAGCTCAAAGAAAAAGAATCGATCAGTCGAAACTGTTAGTATTGCTTTTTTAAAAAAAATTACAAAAAAAATATAGGATATTGCACACATTTTATCAAGAGCTAATTCACAAAATAATAATAATAATAATGAAACACACCTGCAATTCAAGTTTTTCTCCCGATGGTGTCCTAACAGATACAGGATACAAGCAAGATTCGCCTGTTCAACAAAAAAAGAAAATTCAATAAATTCAGCTCATCAAGTTTAGAAGAAATAGCAAATTCTTTGGTTGATAGATAGCAATAGTAAGAGATTCAATTCAAAGATCAATTAGCATTTGCAACACTTCATTCTTTTAGAATCAATTTAGTATGAAGGAGTTTTGGGGAATTAAAATAAATTTCACTTCATAAGTTCATATGCAGTGTTTGGTTCCAATGCAATTAGTAGGAAATTGGATTTACCTAAGAAATGTAAACAAATGGATTTTTCTATTGACCATTCCCTATCAACCCTAGTCAAAAAAAGAAGAAAATTTTATGAAGTCGGTACTGTGAATCGCAAGGCCTCCATATAAGAATAAAAACCAAATTTATTGTCAACAAAACAAGAAAGAAAAATTATGTTTCCACTCAATTTCTCCTCAACCTAATAAGTAGATGAAAACTAATTCTAATTCAACTCCTTCACCATTTCCATTTCATTTCCCCTCATTTAATTCGTTCAAACAAAGCAGAGCCTTAAGTTTAAGGGTAAATTAGATCTGCTTCAAATGAAGATTAGCAATTATAAGAGATGAAATGATCTTAATCAAAGAAACAAATTCGTTATAAAGAATAAAACACTTCCACACTACACCAAAGTGAAATAAACAAAAAAATTTCAAATTTCCATGGAGAGTTATCTGAAAAGGAAATCAGTAACTCTTGCACATTACTTCTATGCTTTTTTGGTGCTTCTTAAAAAATCCATTGTATTACCATTGTACATAATACAAACAACGTCACGTACGTGCACACAGAAACTTGTTTGCCATTTATTTTTGGCATGATGCATAAGAATATTAATTCCTAATTCTTATCAGCATCTTTGCCTTTTTAATGTGTTTTAGCGCATCATAGAACAAAACCCTTGGTTGCATAACAACCCAAGCTGTATAAGAAAAAGTTCCCAATACTCCAATAATATGGTATAAAACAAATAACTTTCAAAAATTAGCAAAACAACTCGAAAGGAATCAACTCAATGGCGGCAAACAAAAATCATAAGTGAACAGCAAGGATCTTAACCTTCAGCTTTTGTTTGCGTTGCTTCTGGAGTATTTGCAGTTACCTCCTTATTATTCTCTGCCTTACTATCAGCAGTACCATTGGCTTCGCGAACATCGCTATTAACAGAATCTAGCGAAACAGAAATTTCTGTTGAGGGCACCGGCTCTAAAGATTCAGTAGAGTTCCGATGCAGGTATTTCCCCCTGCTCTTTGCCTTGTTAGCTTTCCCGGCCATTCTTGTATGCTAATAGCACAACCCAAAATCAATCGCAGGTAACCTATTACGTCTTTACGTAATGAAGTCTTCTCCTAAATGGCATAAAAAAACAATCAGGAAAAAAAGTCTTCAAGGCACAAATGCTAATAAATAACTTCGTAAATTCAAGCTTCAGACATTCAGTTGGAACTAAGCAAAGAACACCAAAAAAACAGAAGCAACAGAAAAAAATACCAAACAAGGAATCTAATGGACAACTTCTAGTGTCAGAATGGAAAATAATCATCCAGCGGCAGCTCCACCAACCAAAAACATAAAATTAAGGAGACTCAATTGAAAGTGAGATTCAGAGAACCAAGTATTTCAGAAAATACAAAAAACCAGGTCATCATAAGCTTAATACCAAAACAACAAAACAAATCTTCGAGCAACAAGAAGAGAATGAGAAACAAAAGTACCTCAACATGCGCGCGCATGCGAAAGCAAGAGCAGAAGATGACGGAGAAATGTAGAGTCAGAGAGTAGCGGCCGAGCAGAGGTAAACAATATGGCGGCGGCTGTATAGGGGATTGAGAGGTCTTGCTCGCTTTCTAGAAAATGGAATGCTTCCTTTCCTCTTTTTTTAATGATCCCAAATCTTCTCCAGGAAATGAATGGCAAAATTGGAGATTTTCGGTTTTCTGAGTGCTTTGCTGGAAATATTGTCACAATCGGGCAGAGACCAATTTGGACAAGAGTTCACTTTGTTTAGGGTTTTGTTAGCTGTAATTCCTTTTGGGTTATATTTAGGTTTTATTTAGAACAATTTTTTATTATTTTTTAAAATATTTTTTTTCAAATAAAATTTTTTAAAAATTACTTTAAAAAGTTATAAAAATTTATCCTAAATAAAACTTTAATATATTTCAATTTATTAAATATTTATAATTTATTGAAAAAATTGTATCTATGGTTGTTATAACCATATTTTAATTAAACAGCTAAGAATCATAGCAGTTCAAGAAAATAATTTTTAATTTGAAAATAATTTGGATATTACATTAGATGAAATTTGTGGTAAGCAAAGCCATTTTAATGCAAAAAATAAAAAATAAGGGTCTATTTAAAACAACTTTTTAATCTCATTATTTACTTTTAGACAAATAATAATTTTTATTTGACTATTAGTTTCAGAAAAATTTATACTATAAAATTGCTTTTTGAAACATCATTTAAAAAAGTTATTTTTCTCATAACAATTTTATTATTATATTTACAAATATGTAAACTTAAATTAATCTAAATATATATTTGTATAATAATCATATTATATTATATTAGAAAACCTAAATCACTATTTTAATTGCTTCTTAATTGAGATGTACAAATAATATGATATGGGGAATTTTATTTTTAATTAGTATGATTAATCATAAATTACTTTTCTATTCATTAATAAAAAAAATTTCCAAAGTATGGATTAATTATTATTTTGTTTGTTGCGATTATTAAAATAATTAATTTGATTATTATTCTTCTAAATTTGATTATTACATGTCACATGGCTCTCATATGTCATAATTAGCCTAATAACAAGGTTGTGACTAAACTTAAACTCCCTGCTCGCCTAATGCTCCATCTACATATAATATCCACCTGGCCGTTGCTTCCTTTCAGTATTCAGTAAGGTGAAATCAGCTAAGAAGTTTACAAATACCTAAACCTTGATGGTCGCCCTTGGTGTGTAAATTATTTGAAACTAACTCAGCTTGATGGCCCATTTCAACGATCTTCATGAGTGATCAGGCTTGGTGAATATAGTTTTGAGCAGGGGCGGATCCAGCTTCTTTTTTCAGGGTGGGCAAAAAAAAAAATTATGGGGATGGGCAAAGATGCTTAGGATTGATTAAATGAGGGCAAAAAATTTTTTTGAGAGGGGGCAAAATACCAAAAATACCCAAAATATTCCAAAATATCCCTCTAAAATTAAAAAAAAAAAACTTGCCCCCCCTCAACTCAATGGGGATCCGCCCATGGTTTTGAGTTGGTGGTGGTCAGTGACAACTTAAATCAAATGTGCTTGAAATAAAAGCCATCGAGGCGTGATCACATGTGTAATAATTCAAACATGTGAAATAAATTTATTTGAAAAACATGAAAGTTATGAAATAGAGTGATTTGGCACTGATCTGATGAACACTACGGCACTAGGCTATAATATGTTGTGTTATAATTGTGTTGATTATAAGATCTTGGTGCAATACCACAGGATTTAATTTTAGCATAATCGTCTATTTATTTATTAATTAACCAACCATAGCTTTTATGAATCATTAATATAAATTAATCCAATGGAAGAAACTAAAAATCATATGCATTAATATTCATCCTTAAAAATACAAAAATATTGGCTAAAAATTAATATGTTTGAGTCAAAATAGTCATATTGACGACATATATTATATATCAAAAGTTATGTGGTAAAAGTTTGCTTAAAATCAAGATATCACAACTTATGTACATTCTGACCAAATAAAATTGTATAAAATGCAAAATATGCAAAATCATTGAAATCAGATGTAGGATAATGATAGTCTATCTCGAGACGAACAACTTTTCCAACAGGACCAACTAACAAAAATCATTTTACGATCTTCAAATCCTAAGTTATTTTTCCTCTCCCTCCTCCTTTCCCTTCTATTTTCTCTTAATTTTGTTTCTGTCTCTGTTAGCTAAGGAATAGGAAAATAAAAAGCTTTTAATGCATTTTGAGTGGATGAAGATATTTAGAATAAAAAAATAATATGATACAAAGATAATTATGTCATTTATTTTATTTTAACAAAAAAATCTAAATCATTTTTTATTTTCAAATTCGAAGCTTCAAAAATTATAAAAAAATATTCATAGATTAACATAACATTCTTAAAAGAAACTTGTAAAATTAATTTACAAAACAGACACCTAACGATCTTAAAAAACTCACTTATACTGACATATATCAATTTTCTATACTACCCCTAATATTAGAAGAAATTATTATAATAAAAGCTCAATAATACATATATTATAACGAAAATGATTAACAAATTTTACTTATAATATCTCCTAAAATATTATTTTAATGAATTAAAATATAGACTGTTACACTTTATATAATAAATATATTATAATTGTTTGATTTAATAAAACATTTTTTACTATGATTTTATAAATGTTATGCTTCATATTATGATATGTTATAACTATTGAATTATACTTTGTTGTGTATAACATGATCGAATCATATTCAAGAACCTTCATTGAACCATGTATAAACCTATCTTCAAATAAGATAATATGATTTGAATAGAGTTCAAACATATTCAAAATCTTTCTCTTATAAGATCTCAAACTTAGGCTTCGTTTGGGACAGCTTTTTTATTGCTTTCTAAAATGGAGTTTTAGTACAAATTTTTTTAATTTTGTACTAAAACTCCATTTTAGAAAGCAATAAAAAAGCCGTCCCAAACGAAGCCTTAATCAAAGTTTATTTAAACCTTATTCATATTATATATATTACAACTAATTTAGGTCAAGGAAAACTTAAGAAATAATCTCTAGTAAAAAAGCAAGGTTTTTTTATCCAAATAAAATGTTTAAGAATATTTCCTTAAAAAATAAAATAAAACATATTCTCTCGACTCCGAATATTATGAGACAGTCAAATTTCCCTTTTACTTCCAACCTCCCAATTTTTCAAACGACCAGGATAATCATCATAGCTAACTTAAGCTTCATTTTGAACTATTTTTTTACTGCTTCTAAAATAACTTTCGAGTACCAAAAATTCAATTTTTGTACTAGATAGATATTTTAAAAAATAATACGAAAACTATCACAAACGAATCCTTAAGTTTTGTTTGAAACGGCTTTCTTGTCGCTTCTTACAACAACTTCTTAGTACAAAAAATTAATTTTTTGTACTAAAAAACTGCTTTAAGAAGCAGAAAGAAAGTCGTCCCAAACAAAGCCTTAAGCTATGCACTTTACAAATAAAAAATCTAAATTTATATTTATTTCATCAATTTTATCTGTGATAGTTTAGTAGACTATAGGCCAAATTATCAATTCCTTAAGCTTTCATAATTGGAACTGAAACATGATAAAAGTTTTGAACTAAGTATCTTCAACATTGGTTTTAAAAAAAAAAAAAACATCCCTTCAACCAAGTGTCTCCCTTGCTTCAAAATAAAATAGCTTTACATCCTAAGCCATGCGATAGAGAAGCTATCACCAATAGATTTTATTAGAAAACACATTAAAGCTGAAGATAAAATAAAAGAGAAAAAGAAATGAAAGCTTCTCATAAATAAGGAGAAGTTTCTCAAATAAGAAAACGGCAAATTCATGCAGTCTTTCACATGAATCAGGAGAAGTTTCTCATAAATAAGAAAACAGCAATTGAGAACAAATGGTAGCCCGGTTTGAGATTAAATGGTCGTAATAGGAAAAAAATATCAAGTTTATATAGTTCAAAACAAATTATTTATAATATATGTGGCTCTCTCCAGGGTAATCTGTTGAGAGCATCAACAATGGCTCTGCGAAACGAATCAAAATGGATGATGAAAGAGGAGACATGGCCACCAGTTACCCACCTAACTTCTGAGCCCGGCCATGCCTTCTGAAGCTCCAGAACCGAGTCCTTGGGAATATATCCATCATTCTGAAGTTAAAAAAGCTTGTTAAAGGAAATTTCATTTGATCAATATGCCACAGTATGTATCACAACAGTCAGAAAGTTGATAAAGTTGAGATTTTTATGTTTCAGAAAAAAAAAAATAGTAGCTGCTAAGGTTAGAAGCTAAAAGACAAGTTCATACCTCTGCATATAGATATAGGTTTAGAAAGTTGGGGCCTTTATGAAAATCAACCATAAATACTAAGCATTGCAGTTCTTCTAAAGAAGTAAACCATCGCATACGAGAAATTATTCTGTGCGGACTGCGAACGTAGAGCATCATCCAGATGTTGCGCATGGACTGCGTATGTACTGCATATTTACTGCGTATTTGTATATATGCAGAAAATACTCACTAAATACTCTGTAAATACTCATAACTAATGATTAACTTAGTATTTGTTGCATATCTCCAAATACACGGTCCATATTCAATTCATACGCAGTCCATATGCAGCATCCGGATGATCCTCTACATTCGGAGTCCGCACAGAATAATTTCCCGGATACATGGTTTCAATTTGATTTCCTAATAAAATAAATATCATTCAATTTACTAGGCTTCCAATTTATAGCAAATTATTAGGTTCGGATACCGGACAGAGAGAATCATCCGGATTTCTCTGTCTACAGTAAAAACACAGTCAAAGCGCAGCTGCTACTGTAACTGCGTTTTTATTGTAGATAGAGAAACCCGGATGATTCTCTCTGTCCGGTGTCCGAACCTAATAATTTCTCCCAATTTCAGCAACTCTTCTTATTATAGCTTATGAAAGCATGAAGATGAGATGGTTTTTATCTACTTTGGCACGCCACGTAAGGTTCAAGTAGTGTGAGGGTAATATAAAAACCAGAAAGAAGAAATTTTTTTTTTTTTTTGAGAATTATGGGTATGTTAAACACTTACAGTGGCAGCAACAAGTATGACAGACTCAGGGCTCTTGGGAATTGGGAAACGTGTAACATCCGTCAATGACAATACCATTCGGAGCCGTTCTCGAACTTCTTCGAGAGTCATTCCTGCCTTCTCTGCATCTTCTCTCAATGCATCCCAAGCAGTTGCGTGCTTCAAAACTCCTTCACAGAAAGCCACCACAGCAGAATGTGGGGCGAGAAATGGCAATGTAGCTATCGGAGTTGGATGGAGAGATCCAACCATCGCAGCATGTACACCCCCTAAATTGTTTTTGGTTTGTTAGAAAATAATTTTGGGATTTTATGCACACATTAATATGTTCTCAGTAATGCAGAAGGGTAAAAAAAAGGAAAATACACTAGAGAGAAACAATAAAATCATAAACCTTCTAACGGTTCAATTTAACTAGTCTATTAAAGAAATATCAGCAGGTCTCAATCTGAGAGTTCTTCAAATCTGTGGTAGCTTCTCAACTTACCCATGCTAAGTCCACATATTCCCATTTTGCCAAAACCTCCCTCCACATCTAACCAGTGTAAAAGACTCCTAGCTTCCTCAATAGTGGCTCTTCCCAGCAATAACAAATCACTGACACAAAGAAGTTTTGCTCCCCGCTGCAGTTTTGGTCGCCGATTTCCATAAAAAGGGCTGCAGCAGGTTTGCTTGAGATTATAAATCAACATTTACAACAGGTTTGATTTATAATCGCATTTTCAAATCCAGTAAATTCTGTAAAATAATCATATAGAAATTATCTCACCTCTCAAGCACCATTGTTGCTATATTTTCCTTAAGTAAAGGACCTCCAAGACGCAATCTTCGCTCGTAAGTATGATCCCCTGTGCCTATATAAAAAATAGTTTGATAGGGATAAGTTATCAAAGAAACATTTAGATAAACAGGAGCAGAAAACCCATAATGAAATCATCAGATCTTCATCTTTTCTTTATCGTCAGACATCTCATCAGATAGTTGCAATGGCAAAAGGTATGGGATCCATTTTATTACCTAGAAATCACAAGCTACTCCCCTTTCCTTACAGCCAGGGATTACTTGCCATATCTTAGGAAGGCTCAAGAGGAATGCTATATGAACCTCTAATCATTGGCAAAAAGAACACAAAGCAATGATTGTCTCTTATGTTGATGATTTAAGCAACTGGCTAAACAAACAGATTTGGATACCCCAGTAATCTATTCATGATGGTTATAAAGTTTAAATGAGTTAGATGCTATTGTAACTGATAGGATATGGTAATTGTCCGGTTATCATCATTATTCTTATCTCAACTATTTGGTGATAGCTTTATAAACCATTCTTCATCATTTTTTTCATTTAGTTTTGCACGTTTAGCTAACTCTAGTTAATGTGACTAAATCATTTGCGCGACTTCTACCATGCACCTTCGGTTTATGCTTGTCTTTATTGCTTTTACATTAATTCGATCAAACCCACTTTAATGGTTTATCATTGCTAACTATTGTACGAGCCAAAAAAAAATCATCCACGATATCATCATTATTAGCCTTATCTTGATTATTTAGGGTCAAGATCTATGAATCCTTATTCTCCATTCATCCTTATTCAGCGTTATACGACATTAAGGCTTCGTTTGGGATGGCTTTTTTACTGCTTCTTAAATCAGCTTTTTCATAAAAAAAATTTATTTGTTGTACTAGAAAGCTGCTTTAAGAAATAGTAAGAAATTCGTCCCAAACGAAACCTAAATCTCTTTAAACAAATCAAAATAGAACAACTTCTAAGTACATGCCAAAACAATACAAAAAATGCATTTTATAAGCTTTACAAAGGTTACTCTCTCAAATACAACTAAGATTTTTTCTCACAATACCAATCCATACTAGCCTTGTCGTAATTGGTCAAGCTGATTGCATCATGGCATTAATTCTGAATTAGAATCCAATGAACTTAAAGATTATAATCAACATTAAAGTTGTCTCAAATAGAAATGGTCTTGTTTACATATATAAGTTGATCAAATGTCAGTAAAATGAAGAACACTGAGTAATATGACTTGTTGGTAGGCATACACAGTTACAATAGTAACTGCATTCCGCATGCAATTAAACATGAAAAAACATATTAATGAAATGAAGGAAATTAACTAAGGCCTTGTTTGGGACGGTTTTTTTACTACTTAAAACAACTTTTAATACAAAAATTAAAGCTATTTTAAGAAGCAGTCCCAAACCAAGCCGAAGTGTCCATGGGATCATTTTTGTTTTTATTCTTTCTTTATTTATTTTTGAAATAAAAAAAAATAAAAAACATAAAACTGATTTTATCTCAGCCAAGATTAAACTAATGCTTAAAATCAGTATTACTTTCTTTCAGCCAAGAATTCCAACAATTCTACCATATAGAAGCATCCACAGCACTTCTTCAAACAAAAAAGAAGTACGAGAACATAAAATCACCTGCTAAGTGAACTACGCAGGCCATTTTATGTGGTGGTACGGACTTCGGTGTTAGGAGAGCAATCCGAGCTATATGGCTTTCTGGGGGCAAAGCATTTATAAGTTGCTCATCACACGGAGTCCGGAAAATTCCCTCTTTAAGACAAGCATTTTTTGACTCCCATAATTGTTTCCAAATTGGCTGAACCATGTTAGGTGGCCAATTTTGGCTGACAGACCCTGGAAAGAGCTGCTTCAACATGCTCTCAAAAAGCTCAAGTTTGGTTCCTCCCCATCCCCTCGAGAAAAAAGGAGTGCTTAATTTGGTACGATGCATGCACGCCCCATAAATGTGATCCAACACATAATGGAGAACCCCCACATTTATAGACACCATCTGATTTAAATGGAAATTCCCGAATGCAACAACTTACAGAATAGATTAATAATTACCATCTCATAAGCATGAAATCACCTGGCATTAACAAAATAGAAAAAAAATAAAGAAAAAAATTTCTTTTAGTTCAAGTAAGCTCAAAGATGAGAAAGAGTTAAGAACCCAAAGAGGAGAAATAAATTTCAAGTTCAAGTAAACATAAACAAAAATGGAAGTTACACTGCATTCAACAAAGATCATAGTATAAGGATAGCACACTTTTCACAACAACAACAACAACAACAACATCAAGCCTTTATTCCACTACGTGGGGTCAGCTACATGAATCATTTTCTCCATTATGCTCTGTTAAGAGTCAAATTCTCATTTAAATCTAATAAAGAAAGATCATTTGTAATATTTTCTAACCTAGTCTTTTTAGGTCTACCTCTACCTTTCTTAACATAGGTCAAATCTAATACATATGCTCTCCTAATAGGATCATCAGAAGGCTGTTGTTTTACATGACCAAACCATCTAAGGTGACTCTCTCTAATCTTATCTAACACTGGAACTACTACAAAATTTTCACGAATATGCTCATTTCGTATCCTATCTCTAAAAGTAAATCCACTCATCCACCTGAGCATCCTCATCTCAGCAATACTTAACTTAATATTATGCTTCTCTTTTAATGGCCAACATTCTGCGCCATAAGGCATTGCAGGTCACACTACCATCTTATAAAATTTTCCCTTAAGTTTGAGTGGAACTTCCCTATCACACAACAACCCCGAAGCATTCCTCCAATTCAACCATCCAACTTGAATTCTACTAATAATATCCTCTTCTATCTCGTCATCGCTCTGAACAATAGACCCAAGATATCTAAAACAAGTACACTGATTAATGGCTTGATCGCTCAAAGTCACAAACCCCCACTAGATCTATTAATACTAAAATTACACTCCATGTATTCGGTTTTAGATCTACTCAAACAAAAACCTTTAGACTCTAAGGTTGACCTCCATAATTCGAGTTTACCTTCAACTCCCTCTCTAGCCTTATCAACAAGAAGAATATCATCAGCAAAAAGCATAAACTAAGGTACATCCTCTTGCAAATTGCTAGCGCGAACATCCATGACTAGAACAAAAAGATAAGGGCTTAAGGTGGATCCTTGAGGCAATCCAACTGAAATAGGAAAATACTTGGTCAAACCACCTTATGTTTGAACATAAGTAATAGCTCCTACATACATATACCTAATAACTTGAATATAAGCATTATTAATCCATTTCTTTTCTAGAATTCTCCATAGCACTTCTCTTGGAACTTTATCATATGCTTTCTCTAAATCAATAAATATCATATGTAGATCCTCCTTATTCTCCTAAACTTCTCCATCAACTCTCTCAATAAATGAATAGCTTCCATAGTAGATCTATTCGTCATGAATTCAAATTGATTTTGAATAACATTAGTATCACGTCATAACCTATGCTTTATAACTCTCTCCAAAAGTTTTAAAGTATGACACATGAACTTAATTCCTCCTTAATTAGCACAATCTTTTGCATCACCTTTATTCTTAAAAATATGAATAAACATATTCATTCTCCACTAATCTAACATATTTTTTTAGTCTTCAAAATAATATTAAAAAGTTTAGTAAGCCAAGAAATTATTTCATCTCCTAAGCATTTCCACACCTCTATTGGAATATCATCAGGTCTACTAGTTTTTTCACACTTCATTTTTTTAAAGACTTTCTAACTTCAATTTTACTAATATGCCAATAAAAATAAAAATCACTATTTCATTTAGAGTGCTAAGGTCACTAAAGTCAATCGTATTCTCACAATCTTCATTGAAAAGCTTAGCAAAATATCTCATCCACCTTTGTTGAATATCCTCTTCTAAAAAAATACTTTTTGATCTTTATCCTAAATACACTTCACTTGAACTAAATCTTTACTACTCCTATATCTTTGTTTGGCTATGTTATACATATATCTTTCGTCCACTTTAGAATCTAATATATTATATAAATCATTAAAAGCTAAAATATTTGAATCGCAGATTGCTTTCTTAGACACCTTCCGAGCCTCTTTATATATTTCTCAATTTTTCTATTTTTACATCTAAACCAATTATTATAATAAAACTTTTTATTTTTTATCTTTTCTTGCACATTTTAATTCCACCACTAACTATTTTTATTATTATGAGCTTTTCCTTTTGAAACTCCAAGCACATCTTTTGCAATAATTTTAATATTACTAGCTACTTTTTGCCACATAATATTCGCTTTCTCATGCACATTAAACACTTTTCACTAAAAAAAAAACCCTCCATGATGTTAAATGCCTACCATACAATATAAGTTGCTTTTATTGTAATGCATAATCGGAAATATATAATTTAACATTCCCAAAAAAAAAAAGGCACTAAGAAAAGAATATGCTCAACACAACTATGTAAAAGGACAAAGACAACGGAAAAGAATTAAAAATTTACCAAGAACATTCTAACTATGTTCTCGGCAGTGTTTTTCAAATATCCAAACACTCTCAAGATAATATAGCTAGCTAATGTCTGAATTATTAGGTGAAAACATCGATGGATGCTTGAGAGAAATAGGGAATTAAAAAAAAGTATATTTTCTATAATTGGATCTTACTTATGAGAAAAATTTTTGAAGAGTATAAAATGATACTCATTACATTCAATTATGTTGGGCAGAATAATAAATTTTCAAGTTAAAAAATCCAACTAATTAGATTTTTTTAAATGGGTATAGTTTAAGTATTTAAGTTTGCAACATCTATCCATTCAATTTTTGACATCACCGAATCATCCATGCTTTCTTCCATTGTCATCTATAGCCCTCCATCTCTTCCTTTATGTTGTTAGATATACCCTATTCAATCTTAAGATTTACAACTGTAGAACTTGAAGATTTTGCACTATGGCACCTTCATTTGATCAAATTGTTTTAAGGTTTTATGCTGATTTCTCCAATTTTACTCTTCTCATATCATTTTATATCAAATTATAATAAGAAACTTATCTTCAAAACACCCATCTCTAAAATCAGGGTGAGACGCTCACCTCAATGCCCAACATCTAAAAGCAAGGCGCTTATGTAAGCATGCTTTAGTAATGGTGCTTGCCAGAGAGGTGTGCAAGGTGTTATAGCCCCACACAAATGCCTAGAAAAGCATTTGACTCATCTTTAAAAATATTGGTAACCAATAGTAATGGTGAATGTAAAAACATGTCATCACCGTCATTAACCTTATCCAACAATTTGCTGGTGGTTTAATGAATCGTCATTCTCCTAGCATTTCTAATAAGTATTACATGGGTGGTAATTTCAAATATTATTACGCAACAACTAATTAACCACGTTATCATAGGATTATTCCTTTTATCAATCTATCTTATTCGTGCATCTATTCAATATTATATATATGCTCAAAACAGTTAAGTTCATTTTACAGAATCTTATCTATAATTGGCCTGCTTATGTTGTCCTCTAATATAATCATTTTTCATTCTATCTTTTCAACATTTACTATAAATCTATGTAAACATTTTCATTTCTAACACACTAAATTAAGTTAACACTAACTACTTAATCACCTAACACTCGGATCCAAACAAAAAAAATCAATCTAATTATATTTTTATAAAATTTAACTTTGCTATCCAAGATATTATGTTAATGAATAATGATCTTGAGGCAATACACAATTTTAACCTTAGATCTAACATGCTTAAACATAGCACAAAAAGTATTACTTGATCATCTACCAATATTGATGAACAACTATGAAACTCACCGGCCAAAATTATGTCATATATTATACTGTAACTCTACAAATCCTAAGTCTCTAGCTCAAAAAAATGACAACAATTTTTTCTAATTTTTTTCTTATTTCAACAAAAGTGGAACTATGTCATATATTGATTGCATACACTGAAGTATCTCACTTTGAATATCCTTTATGAGTAGCTTTGTTATCAATACAAAATAATACAAATTTAATAACAAGCATATTCGTGAAAATGTTGGAGTAGTTCCAGTGTCAGATAAGATTAGAGAGAGTCGCCTTAGATGGTTTGGTCATATAAAATGGCGGCCTTCCGATGACCCTCTTATGAGAGTAGATGTATTAGATTTGGCCTATGTTAGAAGGGTAGAGGTAGACGTAAAAAGTCTTGGTTATAAAATATTAGAAATAACATTTCTTTATTAGATTAAAATGAGAATTTGACTTTTAATAGGATACAATGGAGAAAAATGATTCATGTAGCCGACCCCACAGTGGGATAAAGGCTTGATGTTGTTGTAGTTGTTGATGTAATTATACTATGATTGGAAAGTCTTAAATCGCTTCACAACTACTTTGGAATAATCACTACTTTATTATGTATATATCTTTAATAACTTCAACATAAATGAATAAACCCTTTTTTTAATGCACTCAAAGCAATTATTGTTGTGTAATATAAAAATATAAATATTCATAGGAAAATTCAAAGAATAGTAAAGAGTTTTGATGCCATTCAGACAATTGTAAGTTCAACAAAAAAGAACTAGATAGATAAATCAAAGCACTATCTTAAAACCTTCCTTATGTTTGAGCCATAAAGCTCTGTCCTATCTAGAGGGCAAGGGACAATACCACTCGATTGTCTGGTTGGTTGTGAACATGCTTAAACCCAATCCCTTACCCACATGAATAGACAATAGTCATTAGAGATGACAGTTTTTTGCTGAGTTTGACATTAAAGCTGAATGTGTTTAAATCATTTATAAAATGAAAATGAAACAATTTAGAGATAAGAAATGTTGGTGGTTGCCAAAATTGGGCAGCCCATCAAGGAAAATCAATTGTTCAAGCAGGTCAAAGACCTCTGAAACAAATAATTTTGGGGGTCAACTTATAAATTCCCATTGAAGGTGGAACTATGATGTTTCACTTAAATAGCCTGAGAAATATTATTATGTTAAAAGACAATTTAACTCAAGATGTCCTTACCAATTAGCTTATGATATACAACATATTCTTAAACAACAAGATGGTTCTTAGTTTTTTGAAAGACATATTTTTCTTTTGCATGCAACAATAAAAAAGTTTAAAACAATTCCCTTTTACAGGAAAAACGTTACTGCCTTTCAAAAATCAAAGGGTTGGTATCCTATTCAAAGTAGGATTTAAGCAAGATTTCACTCAAATCCTGCCATACATATTTTTTGGGACTTTATTTTCAATTGTTTTGTTAAATTCCTCTGCAGCCCTGATTTGCTAAATTCCACCATTCATGTGATTTAATGGATTCAAGTATTTTCTCTTACAAATCATAAATCATAAAGCAGATAGCCGAACAGTTTATTAGTATTTAAGAAGATTTAATTATTGTGATGCCAAAGAATTTTCATGTTTTAATCCTCTTAAGATTTACTAAGTCTACATTTACAGGATATACTAAATCATACTACTTGTAGCCAAACAGTCCCCAAGAATTCTCTTATAGTTCAAAAAAAAAAGTTTCACATACTGAGCTAATTTTATGGAGGATATCATTTACTGAGTTTTTTTTTAATAATTATTTGTAAGCCCAGAGCAGAACAGGGAAAAACGAATAAGATTGCCCAATCCTACTGGAGAAAAGCATGAGTATTGGATCAACTAAGGATATAGTAATAGCTCAAAAACAACTATAATAGAACCAATTTAACAGAATGCTCCATCAAATCCACTAAGATCTGCGCTTTCGAACAGCATTTAACCGGAAGGTTCAATTTTATCAACAAGAAACACAAAAATATTTTATTAAAATGCAAGAGAGGAATGTTTCTTGGGCTTAAGCATAAAATCCATTAAAAAAAACACATCCCTAAAAATTCTCAATACAAATGCAGTGGCGATGAAATCAGCTCATAATTGCTTACTCGGATCCACACCAGGACAACAAAGATCTCCTCCATTCGATGAAGACACTAGCCGAAGTCAAAGGCTGCAGAAAGATCCCAGCTTTCATGCAGAAATCAGCGGGAGAACAAAATGAAAAGATCTAATCCGGGAGAAAAAAAAACTAGGAAGGGAATCGAGACATCGGGCGAGACATCCTAGGAGCTCTCCTGGCCCAGTGAAGAACATTGCACCATCCAACCGGAGGAGCGCCGAGTAAAATTGGAAACTTACAGATCAAATCTGTGGGAGAAAACTGTGGGTGCGACTGCGCGAGAGTGTGGGCATATATAACTGAAAGGAGAAAATATTTGTGTCAGTATTTTAAGGATATTTTAAAATATAATTAGAATTTTTTAAATTTTATATAAATTTCTTAAAAAGTTTTAATTATTTTTAAATTAATGTTCATAACTTTATTATATGGGGTTGTTTCATAAAATGAGAGTTATCATGTGCTAGAAAATTTAAGTCGGTAGAATTTATATTTTATTTCTCAATGATGCATAAATATTCATTACAAATATATAAAAATAATAAGGTAAGATAATATTTTTATGTGAAAAATCTGTAAAAATAAAAAACTACGGGGCCTAGCCCAGTTGCAAAATTCACTATATAGTAAGTGATACAAATATTCCCATGAATAAGGGAAAAGTACAAAGATCAAATGTTCATATATGGACGATCTAAGCCCAACAACAAGACTTAATTTTTCCAGTAAAGATTTTAAAAAATTGATGTCCATAGGCGAACAAATATACCCAATAGTAGGGTGATCTTTTAAATACTTTGAAGAAAGTGATGATTTTTTAAGCCAGTCATCAGTGGTGATGGTGATTATCAATGGCAATAGTTGGTCGTGGTCGTCGATGATGGCTGTAAAATGCAAGAGAATAATCGAAAGTTCTCACTTCTCATTTTTTCCTCTTTTTTTCCCTTTCATGTGAAGAATGATGTGGGAACCATTGCCTATTTAACACTACAGCCAGACATCGATGCAACGACCCTTGCACACTTGTAGTTGTATTCAAATTATACAACGCATCGCTTCCAGGAAACTTCCTAACATTAACACAATGTATTAAAGGATTCATGTCATATTATTCGATAAATTTTATGCTGGCAGTCGATACCTAACACAATCCTCCATTTTTCTCATCCAGAACTTGGTACATGACAACCGCAATGTTAAAAAAATTAATAATAATATAAAAATGAAAAATGAAAAATAAAGCTCCACCAATATCAACAAATCAAATGACACCTAAGTCAAAGATGAATTAATAAAGCAAGTGATTGAAGCTTTGCAATACCATATATCATAATTTAAATGAAATTTGGATGAGAAATATGCTAGGAAGGGATGCTTACATAAGTTTTTTTTTTTCCTAAAAATAGGGTAGGAAATTTTTTTGTTAAATGTCCTTATATTATCCTTATGGGAAATTATATTTTATTATTCATCATAATATATCAAATTGGTCAAATATCTTTATTGCTTATTTTATTTGTGCAATACGCTCGAAAATTTATTTTGTATTGAAATGAATCTATTATTCCTCATACTATATCTAATTGATCAATTTTTTTTCCACTGACAATCATAGAACTCTTGTGATCAATTTATAGTAAAGTTTCAAAGCAAATGCTTTGTGTTTGTATTATCTTCTATTAAAGGTATTTATGTTGTACTTTTGGTTATTTAGAATTGAAATCATTAATTGTCATAATTGTATGTTATAATAGTAAGGAAATTAAAAGAGAATCCTAGATTTAAAAATCGATCATGGTGTAAACTTATAATACGAGTTTTGAATCATGTTCATACACTTAATCCAAAACCCTAAAATACAATAAACAATAAAGTAAATGGTATAAAATGTTCAAAAATTTTCAAATCATGTTTGAATTAAATTCGAATCATATTTGAAGTAAGTTCGAACTATGTCTGAACCATATTCATCCCAAGTTCTAACCACATTCAAACATTGTTCAAAACAAGTTCGAGCCACGATCAAACTTGTTCGAATAAGGTTCTAGAATGATTCAAACATGGTTCTAATGTAGTAATGTTAGGGGTGTGTAGATAAAGTTGTTAGACAATTTGTTGCATTTGATCTTCTTGAAAAAGTTGAAATATATTCTAGCTTTGATAAAAAAGAGGTATACAAATTAAGAATTTTACAACTTTTATGATAGGAGGTGATATATATGAGTATCTTAAGTACTATATTTAAATAAAAAAAAATTAATTAGAAGGCATCTGAGCAATTGCATCTGAAGCAATGGCACAAGATAACACAACTGAAGCAGTTTGGAAATGGACTGAGAAAGCAAAGTTAAATCCTAGAGTTAATCTATTTTGGTGGAGACTACTTAACAAAGCCATTCCTTATTAAGTAGATGAAAATCTCACTTGATGCATGAGGTTTGGACACTTGATAATTTATTATGTCATAACCATTGTGAATGTACTTTTCCTTATCGAAGTTCTACTATGATGTCTTATAATTATTGTGATTGCACTTGTTCTTATCAAATGTATAAGCGATTGTATTGTATCTATTATAATTATATTTTATTACATCCAAGTTATCTCTCTCCAATATCAAATTAGAAAGATTTGCCTATTTTTTCTTAATTAAGAACAAGGGCATTTATAAATCATTGATATAAGTCAATCCAGCATAAATAACTAGAATTATATATATCAAAATATTTCACTATATTCATTCACCCAAAATCATATACATAATAGCCAAGAGATCAGTACAATCAGTAATCTATCAATAGATCCTGACTACAAAAGAATATAAAAAATGTAGGATAAAATCTAAAAAGAACATGAAGATCCCAATCAGTCTTACTACTCATGATCTTGGCAACTTTTTTAACATGAAATCAACAAAATCCACATAAGAGCAAAAAAGCCCAACAATAACTCAAATTTACTAAATATTTCAATGCAAAATTCAAGAATTAATATACATGCTCATTTCAATTAATAAAATCAATAGTATTTAATTTCATCAATGATCAGTCACCACTAGTACAATTCAATTTGATCAATAAATAAAAGTAGGAATCATTACACGTAAATATGTAAATCAATATTGTATGAAACTAAATGCATCAGTAATCAATAATAGTATTCTCAGTAGGACAATAAAAGCAATATAAAAAATAAATCAGTACAATAAAAAGTAACTTATTCGTACTAAAACCATGTGTAAGTCTATAAACGAATCATAAGTATACATGTGTCAATGTCAATGCCATCAGTCTCATCTATCTTATATATTATACAATCAGTATATGTATCCATTCATATGCTATTATATCTATCAATGTCATTTGTCAACGTTATCAATATATGATGCAATATTGAGTTCAACAAGGCAGGACATCAAATTTTAATGTGATATTTTCATCCGTATTCATTACATAATTATATTATTATCATTATATTTCATCTTTTATCATTATTATTGCATGTGACTTTCAATAATCATCAAGAGTCATCACTCTTTACTTGTTCTCATAGTTCGGTCATCTATTACAAGCTACAACCTGGATAACATCACATTTAAGGGAAAGCTCGTTGGCCCACTCTCCTGGATAGGATATTATATTTAACAATCAACCATATTTTAATGTTAACAATCAGTCTTCCTTGATTATGCAAACGGCACACTTATCTACTATCAATCATATCATTATCACTGCACAAGGCAATATCATGTATGAAATGCAACAAAATGCTCAAATATACAAAGACATAAAAATTTATATAATGTCCTGTAACTTTAGATAATCACAAGTTCTAGTTTACATGATTAAATTCAATAATATTATAGTCAAAATGCTCATAAAATCCGTATATATCGTATACTGAAATTCAATATTAGTAATCAATGACAATGCATGAACACTTTAACTATATTATAACAACATTTACTTGACAATCAATACAATCTCAAAAGGTAACTTTTGTATCAAAGAAGATAAAAACAAAGTGTTGAAATTATAAAAAGCTTATGTTGAATTCTAAATTTGATTACCACAAGCACTACCAAACAAATGAAATGTTAGTGTTAATTTTTTTTTCATTATATAAGTCTAAATACAATTATCGCCCCTTCAAATTTCAGAAGTCTTTGATATAATATGAAGGAGATGACACGAGAATCCTATGTTCGAAAATGAGCCTTGTTCGAATACAATTCGAACCATGTTTAAACGAGGTTTGAATAATATTCGAACATAATCTGAACCAATGCCTCTATGCTTTTAGAGTCCTACATATATATAAAGATAAATCATAGAAATCGGTTGAAGTTAGAACCAGACTAATATAAATGCAATAATAATGATTCTTCAGGAGGATAAAGAAATAGTGAAAATATACCTCAATTAATTCATTAACGGATGCATATTATCCATTTATTTTTTTCCCTCTACAAGTATCTCTACTGTTATCTTCATATCAATATCCTCTAGTATCAACCAATCAATACGATTATGCTTATACATCCGAGATTCTGAAAGTGAAAATGTGCTAGTTTGAGCCTCGTTCAAACATGATTCAAATCTTGTTCAGGAGCTTCTTAGAAACTTGTTTAAACACAAATCAAGCACTAAATATGTTGTTCACAATTGCTCGTTTTGCTCGAACCTAGGGTTGTCCTACTACCTCCTTCATTTTATAACTGCTGATTGATGACTACATTTAGACTTATATAGCTTTAAAATGTGAACACTAATATATTTTCGTTTGAAGAAAAATATTGTTTGTAATACGATATGATGGTGCTTAGAAAAAAAAAAAAGATATTTTAGCACATATCTTGTTCAAGTATGTATGATATTGCTAAAGACTATGCATTATATTGCCACGAGAAATTTTATCCTAAGAGAGATATTTGATCAATTAAGTGTATTATGGTACACATAAAATCACATTTTTCTTACTTACCAAAACTTTTTTAAATAATGACAAATAAAATTAATCATATGCTTCATAACAAAAAATATCTTCACACCTAGATATATGTCATATATGTTTTCCTACATTATTATTATTATTATTAAATTATAATATATTATTTTTTATTTTTAATATATGATAATATTTTATAATTTTCAGTATAAATATCTTCAAAATTTATAACAACTTTTTAAAAAGTAATTATAAGCAACTGTCATTTTCATATAAATGTTATATAAAAGATCAATTTTAAGAAAATAATTTTAATTTTATCTCTTAATTATAAATTCATTCAAATAAAAAAAAATCAAAAGATTTCTCGCTTACGGCAAACTAAGAGAAATAGGTCACGTGTACCCTTAAAAGGTAACGAGCGGGAAAAAATCTTCAACAGTTCAACCTCTTCGTTTGGGACGGCTTTTTTATTGCTTTCTAAAACGGAGTTTTAATACAAATCTAATTGTCCATATATTTACATATGCGTTCAAGTTTACATTTAATATTTATTAATATAAAAAAATGTATTAAAGTATCGTCACAAATTTTGATTATGATAAATTTATATTCAATGATTTGCGCATTAAAGCACATAAATGGATATACAATTTATTCAGCTCAAATTTAATTTAGATCATTATGATTCAAATTTTTTTATTAAATTGATTATATTTATACATTTATATGCCCACATAAAATTTTAATATTCAAGCAAAATAGTTTATATGGAAGTAAAACAAACTTAGAGAACATCCAAAGTTTTCCAATCTTTGCTCGTTGATTTTTAAGAGATAGAGTTCATTAATGTCTATATTTTATATTCATTTGAAATTAGAGGATGTTATTGTTAAAAAAGAGAGAACTCTGCTCATTTATATCACATATTTGATCACTCAAAATAAATTACATTAGATTTCGACTAGGTTACATTTAGGACAATTTTCTTACTACTTTTTAAACAAATTTTTAGTACTAAAAAATTATTTTAGAAAGCAGACTCAATTGAATCCTACGAATTTGATTGGGGATGCATTCTTGCTGCTTCTTAAAACAAATTTCTTATATAAAAATTTACTATAAAAAAAAATTTTAAGAAGCATCAAAAAAGCCGATCCAAATGAGGCTTAAGTTGAATCTCAATCAACTTTAATGTACCCTAATATTCTTAAACTCTTAAACAACATAAATAATGATAAAAAATATAATAACTTATCCACTAATATATATCATAATGATAAATGATAAACTTCTCTTTAACTTCATGAAAATCCTCTCTCAACCAAAAATGCTAATGATTAACAATTAAAGATTAGGATAATCTCTTTATAAAATTGAGCTTCATAAGTTCTTAGATACCCGCGTTCAATTGACTCATATCAAATATAAGTTTCGTTTGGGACGACTTTATTATTACTCCTTAAAACAACTTTTTAATAAAAAAATTATTTTTTTAACTAAAAAAACTGTTTTAAAAAGCATTAAAAAACTCATCCCAAACGAAATCATAGTTTGTTAACTTTTTCTCAATCTATGCAAAATTAATCATTGATTTGCTTATTGAGAACTTCATAGCCAAATCTCCTCGGCTTCATGATCTATAATAAAAATATATCAATGAGGTTATTCCTTAATATAAGGTGAAAGTTAAGAATTTTTTATTTTGGCCCAAACAAATGCCTTTGTTAATTTTGAGAAATGATTATGAAAACAAAAGGTTAGAGCTTTATGCTTAGAGCCATCAAATTTTTTTTTAAAAAATACAAATCCTTACAGAATTTTACCAAACCCGGGTGACAGTACTCTCTCAAGATTTCGAAATTCGACAAGGAGGCTGCAGAATGCCTAAGAAGAGAGTGCTAGCTCTTGAAACGCTCGTCCTCGGTGCTCAAAGTTTCTGAATTCATCAAAACTAGCACAGCCAGGACTTAGAAGAATTACATCTCCTGCATCATAGACAAGGAATGGAAATACATTAGTGCATTATCATCATCATCAATGCCATGAGCCATATTTGAGCTATTTGTGCCAGCTTCATCATTTTTTAAGATGAATGAACATTTTTTTTTTTTTTTACTTTGTTTAGAACTATTTTCTTACTGATTTTTAAAATAATTTTTTATACTAAAATTAAAATTTTTTTATTAAAAACTGCTTTAAGAATCAGCAAAAAAATCATTCCAAACGAAGCATTGAACGGCTTTTTCATTGCTTTCTAAAGCAGCTTTCAAATGCAAAATTTTTAAATTCAAGAAAATTTTTAACTAAGAAAATATTTTAGAAAACATTAAGAAAGCTGTCTCAAATGAAACCTTAATGAATTGTGAAAAACAGTTGTTGATAAGTTGTTTGGTTGTAACTTGTAAGTAATTCAGATCTCAATTCCGGAGGTGGGTTGCATTTAAGTGATTTGCAGGTGATTTTTCTTAGCAAACACTTTTTTCTTGAGGATTCAGTTATTGTGTTTATTTGAGTTGAAGAGTTTCTTTTTCTCCACACTAACATTAATTTTTCATTATTTTATTATTACTTTAACAAAAATAATATTTCAACTTATTATAAGAAAAAAAAATTACAGAGAATTTCAAGTCATCAATATTAAAAGTCATTTCTTATATTTTTAGAAGTTTCAAGAATGTGAACTCAATTCCCATAATGTCAACCAAATAAGCACCTAAACTCAACCTATTTTTGAAAGTGAGATGCAGGCTTCTCATTTGGAATGGCTTTCTTACTATTTCTTAGGCTTCGTTTGGGACGGCTTTTTTAATGCTTTCTAAAATAGAGTTTTAATACAATATTTTTTTATTTTTGAACTAAAACTCCGTTTTAGAAAGCAATAAAAAAGTCGTCCCAAACGAAGCCTTAAAGCAGCTTTTTAGTGCAAAAATTTTTGTACTAGAAAGCTGCTTTAAGAAACAGTAAGAAAGCCGAAGCCGCAATCAGTTTTGGGCTTTTAGATCAAGAAAAATTCGCCCTTTGAGAGAAGCATACCTTTCACTGCTATGCTCTTTGCATGCTTAACAGCATCTTCCAGATTTTTAGCTCTGATGCAAGGGATGCTGAGGCCACCATCGCATAAGGCTCTATAGATCATCTCTCCTGACGATCCAAACTAGAAAAACATTTAAAAATTAAAATTTGTCAGCTTGTAGAACAAAACCTCATGATTGAGAACAAAGAACAATTGCTTACGGTTATGACAGCTCTGCGGTGCTGAAGAAGTTCAACGAGTTGTTCAAACCCATTCGAGTCTTCACCATTTAGAACCTGGGGGATAATCGCACAATAAAAGAAAATTAGTTATCGTGCAAAGCCTCAAAAAACTCTACCGTTGGTGAAAAAGCTGGGTGATTGCTTACGTGTAAGAAATGGATTATGAAACCTACTAATGTCCATGAAGCATTCTATTTTAGAGGTAGTATCGGCATATGATAGGTAAAGAATGCTCAGGTCCAATGAAAAACATAAAATTGCATAAATAGAGTCATTTAACCACACAAGCAAATAAGGGGAAATTAGTAATCCGATAGGAAATACACGAGTTCGCAAGTGATCCTATTCGAAATACTTGAGTTCGCAAGCAAACCTAACAATAAATTGGTAAAAAACAGCGAGAAAGAACACAAGAACGCCAACGAAATCAACCCAAGATAGTAAATTGTATTAGGGAAATCAAAGCAAAGCAAACATAAAGGCAAGATACAATTGATCCTCAATTCGAGAGGATGATCGTTCTCTCCCAATCTCTAGACGAAGAATCTAGAGCCCAAATCACCAAAGAGAACTCTAGGAGAAACAATAATCCAACATAAAAATCCTAACCCTAACCTCTCATGCCTATTTAAAGCTTAATTCACTTGAATTCAAAATTCATTTCCCTACATTCACTTGAATTCAAAATTCATTTCCCTCCTAACCTAACCACCTCCCTTAATTAGCCATGTGGGGCCCATCGCTTGGGCGGCAATCACATAGGAGGGGATTTGACCCGCCTCCTGTAGATTAGGGCCGGCTGGGTCAGTTCAGGAACCGACCCAACATAATCTTGCTGCACATGAAACAACTCGTTAAAATATTGATTGAATATGATCTTCTAAACCAAGGTTTCACCTCATAGCTTTATATTAACATAGACATCATTCCTAAGCTGCTCAAAAGCTAAAAGAGAAATAAACCAAGCGGTCTATTTTTCAGGAAGCTTGATCCATTTCTTTATGTTCATGATAAGCCTTCCAACAAAAAGGCATTTATAGCCGAAAAAAGGTTTGGACCAACTCTTTAAAAGGGCAACTTAGAGCACGGGTTGGGTTTCTTCTTCTATGGTCAGGAGGTCATGAGCTCAAGTGTTCAACCGTTCAAATCACAGAAATAGCATCTCAACAATACAGTGTAAGGCAACATAGGGTACAACTCTTTCAGGGTTGCACCACGTCTTAAAGGGATATGAGGGTAAATTATTAATTTAGGTTTTGTTTGGGACAGCTTTCTTACTGCTTCTTAAAGCAGCTTTCTAATATAAAAAAAAAAATTTAAACTAAAAAGCTGCTTTAAGAAGCAGTAAAAAAGCCGTCCCAAACAAAGCCTTAATCTAAAGCCAAACAACCTTTGATGGTAATTATTAGCAAGCATCATCTCGATAGTACAATAGATAAAAATCAACCTTTGCAAGACCACCAAGAAGGACGATTGACTTCTGATCTTTGAGACTTAGCAATGCAGTATAAGTTGATTCAATGTTTGTGGCTTTGCTATCATCCACCCACCTTATGCCACATGCATCAGTACAAACTGCAAAAGCAAGCAAAGTTGATTAAGGGAAGCATGTATATGGATACAACACTAAAACAATCATGAATATATAGTTACACTTTATAATAAGAAAATTAAAAAAAAAAAATATTTATTTATGTTAGAAGTGTGAACCAAAGGAGATCAAAATTGGACCAAATACCTAGTGGCTCAATGCATTTTTAACCAAAATGCTTAAACCTATGAGGGCCAATTGCCGGGTATTTATAAATTTTATATACAAACAAAACTTTCGACTATCTAATATGAGACTAGATCCAATACACTCTTATATACTTCAAAAATCTCTCCCTCAAGCTCTCCACATCGGCCATCAATCTCCCTTAAACAGAAGTATGATCAAGTACCGCGTATCAACAACCCATGTAATTTCTCTTGAACCTACACCACCATTGTCGAAGTGTCAAACCCAGGGAAGCGACAACTCGCATGAACCACTCAATCCCCAAAATCACTTGTTATGAAGTTCGAATCAAACGGGGATTGTAACCGAGCTTGATATCATCGTTATAGTGAGACTCAATATTTAGATATCTTGGATCTTCCTTTATATGATCAAATCTTATCAATTGAACTAGATTGATGCTGCCTAATCAATCCATATGAAGCACCTTGAGATTCATGCACATGCTATAAATCAAAATACTTCTCTCACCTAAAGGGTTCTCCTCATTCTATAAAAAATAGATATGATACAAAATAATGTTTTAGTAATTATAATAATATTTTAAAAGAAAAATATTTATAGCTACATTAATTAATTTCACATTTTTAGTCATAATTAACAAAAGTATAATTTTGGCATATCATTAAAACATTTCTAACCAATATTTTCCCTCGAATTGATAAATAGAAAGCTTGAAGGTATGAGGAAATCTTTTACAGAATAATTAAAGTCTCCAACAATGTTAGTAAGTAATTCACTAGTATTAATAAATTATATAGAGGACAATCCATGATATGGTCCAATATTGCGAAGAAGATGCGAGGAACTAGTCTATGATTAAAAACACAATAAACCACAAGCCAAAATGAAGGAGTAAGAGCACCGTGCATTATAGCCTAAGATTGATAGAGCTTAAATAATCATTGATGGACCATTTAGAAGTAAGAGCAAATTTAAACATCATGATCAATAATAAATGTTTGCTTAGCATTCCTATAAGGTTATTCAAAGAGGGAGAGACAAAGCGCAAAAAGACTAACTCATGTAAGAAGGCCGAGATGGGATCTTTCAGGAGTCAGAGATGGAGAGAAGGACGATCATCACCAAAAACAATGATGGAGATCAAAACAATCATTTCACTGGATATTCTTGGATGTAGATACAAGGCTGTCGAGATGAGGTGTTGCTTCACCAACCAATATAGAGATTGGCCAAGATTTTTGCAAGGCGAGACACAGGAGGCATTGGCTAGAGAATTAGTGCTATTGAGATGAAGCGAAGACAAAAACTAAAATTATGAGCTTAGCTACCATGTAAATTAAATTGTCGGTTCTCATTATATTAGAAAGAATAAATATGATACAAGATAACGTTTGAGTGATTTCAGCAATTACATCTAATCTAACAAGGACTCTATAATACATTCCCAAAAGATAAATATTTACAAGTATACTAATTAATTACATAGATTTATAGTAATGATTAGGGTAAATATGACATATCATTAAGAACTATCTAACGCACCATATATAATTAATAATCTGTATCTACATGCATGTGTAGGTATGGATGAATACCTAGAGAATCCACTTACCCTTCTTCAATCCACATCATTTAACATGCCTTCTTGAGAAATGTGTGCATCTATATGCATAATGTGCTTGTCTAGGGTTTGACGGAGAAATTGAGCTCTCTCTCTTGTTCCCAACACACTCTCCTAGTTCTAGAGTTTTTGTCGGATTGGCATCGTCAAGAGGGTAGGCAACGAGAAGAAGACCTTTTTAATAAGATAATTAATTCATATGTGGTTTTGCTTCTTCTTCTTTTGGATGTGGGTGACATGAGAATTGGGAAAGGCTAGCTTCTTCATAAGTGGATCATATCATCTATTCTCTTCTGTGGATGTAGACTTAGTTGAAGTTAAATCATTGATTATTCTTTTTTTTTTTTTTTGTGGCGCACTGTTCTCAACCGTAGGAATTCTTCTGCATTGGCTTTTGATGCCCTCCATATAATAATGATAGTAACAAACAAGAATTCATAAAAATTACAATTATTTCAAATAAAATATTTCTTTAGTTCATACTATCACACTTTTTCTACAACATATAATAAATTATTAGGATAAGTAGCCTAATTGTTGGTTTACATCTTTTGACCTCAACCATCTATTCACGGGTAAATGATTCATCTAGTCCCATAGCTTTCTAAATATTCAAATAGAAAGTTTTATAGCATGACACTTTGCATCTTATCCCAATGCGGTTGAATCGCCACAACCTGACATTTTTAACTTGTATAAAGTGGATAAAAAAGAGAAAAAATTATGTTTCTAAGCGAGGAGCAGACAGATAGAGTGGTAATTTCAAAGAAGAGATACCGAGAGCACAATATTCAATCAAGCCAAGATAACTACTTAATACATGCCAGAAGGAACTTGGATTGCAAAAACTAAACTCTAAATCTGTTTCACACTCTGACAGCTAGCGATGCATCCTATCCTAGGTGGAAAATGCACCATAAAAATGTAAAATCACCAACAATAGAAAGGTGAACTTACCAACTTGTATTCTATGTGGTAAAAGGGTCAACCTTTTGACAATGGAATTGATAGAATGATAGTCTACCCCAACGCCCAAACCAAGAACTAAAAAAGCAGCCACTGCAGCATTTGTATAGTTATGAGCGCCTGTTGCTCTAAGATCACTCAGTTGTAGATGTGCAATTGTGTCTGTAGTAGGAAATTTAAGCTTTGCAACTTTTGCTTCCATATCGATCTGCAATCACACGTTGATATTCAATATCAAGTCTATACAGAAGAAACATTAAACAGACTAGTAGTTTGCACAAGAGAAACTCAGGTTACCTTTATACCAGGGAAATCGCCAATCCAAGTAAGGTGGCAGCCATTTGCATGTTTGGAAAAAGCTTTGTTCAAATATGGATTACCTGATAATGTATTTTATATGTGTAGCATCAACTATACAATGAATTTTGCATTCCACTATGAACACATGAAAAATAATGTCATTTGCTTCCAGATAAAGCATAGAATAAGAGCAATTCCTAAATTCAAGTTAATAAGCAGTTTTATTGTTCAAAAATGAGTCCCAAGAATAGATTTTTAATGTTTTTTCCCCTTGGTGGTCGACAGAGAAGTAGAAATATAGAGCATCAAGAAGATGCCGCATCAAGAAGATGCCCAGGAAAGCTGTTTACATTGGAAAGATAAGACGATGTACCAATTCATAAAATGAACAAGAAAGAATGGCAACTGGCTGTCTTGAAATTGTCTGGCGGAAACGATTAAATAAAAGGTCCTCCTTGCAAGTTTGTGACTCAAGCAACTACTATACACAAGAAAAATATGTTCCTTTCTTTTATGACTCAGAAACTCAAAATTATTTGTTTTTATTAATAAATATAATATTGCTGGATTCAAAGAACATGTTGAAATGAGATTTTTTTTGCTCGTGTAATATTAAGATGCAAAACATTTGCTCTTGGCCTCGATTGCAAGTGGCTTAAGATATTTCTTTTTCATTAACCCCTTCTCCTTGGCAACTTCCAATACTCTATGCTCTTTGGCGGATAGAGTCTCAGATTCTTTCTTTTGAGGAATCAATGCTTGACACCGTTGACCTGGACGATTGCTTCAATTCACTGGTAGAGCTGTTCCTTTTACCCGTTTTAAAATTTTGAATTTATTTAAAGTAGAAACACTGGCTTTTGGCTCTAGAGTTGGCTAAGTATATGGATGCACAGGTTGTAACTGTTGAGCTCATAGTTTAATGTTCCTTGTTCTCCTCTACCTTCTAGATAGCTTTCCTCCATACAAGGAAGCCTCGTGGTTATTCTTTCTGGGTGTGAACAATCTAATTGGCAAGATACTAGTGTTTGAAACAACAACAACAACAACAAGCCTTTATCCCACTACGTGGGGTCGGCTACATGAATCATTTTTCTCCATTGTGTCCTATTAAAGGTCAAATTCTCGTTTAAATCTAATAAAAAATGTCATTCCTAATATTTTCTAACCAAGTCTTTTTAGGTATGCCTTTACCTTTCTTAAAATAAGTCAAATCTAATACCTCTACTCTCCTAACCGAGTCATTGGAAGGCCGCCGTTTTATGTGAAAGGCGACTCTCTCTAATCTTATCTTCTACGGGAGCTACTCCAACTATGTTGCATGGATACTCCTATTTACGAGGCATGCTGTATCGGACACGTGTCGGATACGGATACGCCTCCTATACGGCACGGATACGTGTCGGATACGGCTTTGCCGTGTCCAATTAAAATATTATTTAAATTTGACTAGAGACGCATATCGGATACGCGTGTCCTATTAAAAAAAAAAACACTGAGCCGCAATTTACCCTATTCTTTTCGGCTTTCCACCGTTTCCGCTCAATATCCATATTCATTTATGCGGCTGAAACATTTCAAAGAGCTAGGTTTTTCGTTTCCACACAAGTGTTCATCTTTTTCGTTATAGTTGAAGGAGCAGCTCGATGACGCGAGCATAGAAGCAAACAGGATCATCCTTGTCGACAAAGAGGCTTGACGACGCGAGCATTAAAGTCGATAGGATCATCCTTCGTCGACAGAGCGGCTCGACAATGCGAACAGTAAAGGCAACGTAAGCAGTGAAGGTTCGTTTTCTTAATCATAGGCTCGGTATCGAAACTCGGTACCGCTTGGTACCGAACGGTACTGAAACTCAGTATTGCTCGGTACTCTCGATACCGAGCAATACTGGAACTCGGTACCGCTCGGTATTGGAACTCGGTACCGCTCAGTACTGTAACTCGGTATTGCTCGGTACTACTCGGTACCGAGCGACATTGGAACTCAGTACTGCTCGGTATTGGAACTCGGTACCGCTTGGTATTGGAACTCGGTATCGCTCGGTATTGTAACTCGGTACCGCTCGGTATTGGAACTCAGTACTGCTCGGTATTGGAACTCGGTACCGCTCGGTATTGGAACTCAGTATCGCTCGGTATTGTAACTCGGTATTGCTCGGTACAGCTCGGTACCGCTTGGTATTGCTCGGTATAGAGGGGTACCGAATGGTACCAAGCGGCACCAAGAAGCTAAAACATGCTCGGTACAGCTCGGTATCTTCCCATAAAAACAACTTTAAAAATAAACAGCACTTCAAAATTACGGTGGCAGCGTCCCCTTGGACTCCCGGCAGAGTCGCAACATATCTACACTTCCACTTAAATTTTTTCATGTTTCAAATTCATATGTTTTAATTTGTATAAATCCTTTGTAGGATAATGAGCTCTAGTGGAGTAGGAATTGGTTCTGATGATGGTCCATCATAAATCAATATTGAAGATAACAAACCTCTATGGAGTTATGTTACAAAAATAGGTAAAACATTAGAAGGGGGAGGCAATATTGCATTCAAATGCAATTTTTGTAATGCAACATACAAAGGATCATATTATAGAGTGAAAGCTCATTTGTTGAAGATTAGTGGTCATGGAATCAAAGTTTGCCC